GCGAGACGCTCGCTTCTACTACGTTTACTGCCTCCAAAAACCTCATCCACATCCCAAATTGAATAAAGCCGTGCCCGACGCCTCCAAATACATAAAAGAAACTTGGGTGTATATTGTCGACACCTCACCTGAACACCAAAAACAGAGGTTTGACTTTGAAGAAACTTTGTCAGTTCCAATTGGTCCTGACTCACTAATGGATGAAATTGGTGAGTATGCTCTGCAGTTGATTAGGTTGATGTTGATTGCTCGATATGTAGGGGCAATGGCATTACCACCCAGTGCTGCTCTATCACTTCAGTCACCCACTACCAACTGACTTTTAGTCTTGCAAACTCCATGAATACTACAGGACTAAATGTCAGTATGTATATCTATATTGTATATATTCTGGGGCTTGTATATCTCCACTTTTACCTAAATATATTTTGACGTTCAAAGTCACACCAAATATATTTCTAGTGTGTCACACACCCCAAAATATATTTCTTCACTGAGATGGACTCCAAATATATTTCTTATGCCTGGACCCTGAATTGTGACTGTCACACTGCAGAAATATATTTCTGGTCTGGGATGGACTCAGGATATATTTTGCAGCTGGGATTGACCAAGGATATATTTCTTCAGCCACTAGGGGTGTTTGGGGTCCCAGTTCCTAAAAAAACTTGTGATTTTTTTTGGGATGGGGGACATATATTCTAGGTAATTTACCTATTATTTTTTAGGGTTTTAGCCACCCTTCCTTGACTGTTTGTAGCATATGTATGAGAGGTTTCTTTACTGATATGTCATGAAAGCTGAGTATTCCTCTCACTCAAGCAATGGAGAACACTGGACAAGAAAGCTGGATGTTGTTGTTGGAGTACTTGATGAGGGAAGCTGTGTGTTGTTGTTGGAGTACTTGGTGAGGGAAGCTGGGTGTTCCACATGAGTACAACCATCTATAGTTTAATACCATCTTTTCCTCAGTGCATGCATACCCATCATACTACTTACTTATATCAGTACAACCATCTAAATTTTTATATAATAATGAGGGAAACTGGGTGTTGTTGTTGGAGTGCTTGGTGAGGGAAGCTGGGTGTTGTTGTTGGAGTACTTGGTGAGGGACGCTGGGTGTTGTTGTTGGAGTACTTGGTGCAGGAAGCTGGATGTTGTTGTTGGAGTACTTGGTGAGGGAAGCAGGTAAGTGGTTGTTGGAGTACTTGGTGAGGGAAGCTGGGTGATCCACATTAGTACAACCATTCATACTCCATATATCAGTACAACCATCTATACTTTAATACCATCTTTTTGTCAGTGCATGCATACCCATTATACTATTACTTATATCAGTACAACCATCTAAAGTTTGATATAATATTTTCCTCAGTGCATGCATACCCATCATACTACTACTTATGTCAGTACAACCATCTAGGGTTCATCTTTTCCTTGTGCATGTACACCCATTATATTACATATCTTTGTTGTGCATATATTTCCTGCATATATAAAATATTTCTCCTTATATTTACAATTCTTTACATATATACAGAATGTATATACAAAGTACATTTATTGTATATATTCTTGGAATATATGTTGAGCATGGTTATACATTCTTTACATATATACAGTATGTATATACAAAGTACATTTATTGTATATATTCTTGGAATATATGTTGAGCATGGTTATACATTTGTACCTGAAATATGTGTACAGAACACTGTATATATATTGAGCCCCTATAATCCACAGTCATACATTTCCATAGCTGTTATGAAATTCATCTGAAAGTGCTAGCATTTCAACTGCTTCAAGTAACTCTGTCTCCTCACCATCCTCCTCTTCCTCCTCCTCTTCATCACTATCATCCTCTTCATCTCTTTCCATATCGTTCTCTACCATCAT